TCCATGGAACAACTCGGTAAAATTGACATTTGCCAGATGTGCATTCATGTCCCTGTAGTTGGCCCGCTTGAAATTGAAAGCTTTTATAGTGATATTGGCTTCGGTTGTATTGTTTCCATGCCATTCAAATGTGGCCAGTATCGGTGGATGATGACTTTCATTTTTTTTCTTTAGTGCGTTGGCCTTATCAATACGCTCAATCGAAACATTGGTGAAATTATTGGTGAAGAACAAATCAATTTATGATCTCCTATTAGCAAAGTTGATTAGCGCTGCACTAAGAGAAAAAATTGTTTATACTAGACGAGTAGACAATAGGAACCAAAGAAATGTGAGAAACAGAGATCTATTTAGTTGAGTTTTATTTAGAGTTAATTGAGACTTATGGGACTGACTACGCCCGTAACCAACCGTTTATTTTAGCGTGTAGGTATTTCAATAAAGTAAGACAAACGTTTTTAGACTCAGCATCGAGACAAATATTCATTAGGAATGTAGCAAATTTAGACAACAATGTATTTGAGGAACTATATGTTTAAAGGTGGTGAACACAATCGGTCGCCGCAGAACGCCACTTCGAAGTCATTAGGGCTGGTGGCTAGGTGATTCGATTCGGGGTGTGTCACTGCTTGTGTAAAATTATTGAATTGTATAAATTGTATTATGCTATTCAGTCTGTGATTAGACGGTGAATAAATAAATAATAATAATAGTAGTAGTAGTATGTTCAACATAGCCGAAATACAGGCACAAACATGTTGTTTTTACTCTGCGCGTCTGCTGTGAGTATTTGAGCGCACATTGAACGGACAGTGGTAAACTCATTTGTATTTCAGAACTTGTGAACTGTTCGTCGTCCGTTCGTGTGCGTGTAGCGCATAGGGTGGCAGCATCAACAAAATTCAAATTGGCGCGCGGTTTAGTTCAGAAAAAAATTACGAAATAAGATTGATTTGCCTATTAAAATTGAGGGCGCTCGTGTCGCCACAGTTCTCATTTAAGTTGTTTTCGGTCAGAGCTGCCACCCGATGCATAAAAGTAAAAAAACCGAATACTTCGAATGGAAATACATTTTAGCATCCCGTGAAGTTGACAAACTCAACACGGAATTGTACAACGCAAACGTGGACAAAATGAAATCCTCGCTCAAGCATGATGCATCGAGATTTTCGCAATATGTCAATTCATTTATTTATTTATTTACACCGCTAAAAACTGGCTGAATACTTTGTTTGCAGGAAAACGACTCCAAGAGTCGTGAAAAACCTGATCTTTTCGTGTTTGTACATACAATTAAGTGTGTGATAATTATAATAGTAGTCTTCTTGATTTGGTCTATAAACATTTTAACACAAAATAACCTAACCAACACATGGAAATGGGTAGGAAGCCGAAATGTAAACGGTTCCAAAAAGCCTAACCTAAGTATCCAAAATGAAAGGCCAGTGGAAGCGTTAAAATTTTAGTTGCGGCCCTAATGACTGCAAAAGTCATCAATCAATTTATCAAAGAAGTGATATATTGAAGAAAAGTTTTACGTCCAGTCTAACAAGTCCCTGTTGGTAGTTAAAAATTCACAATTTAGTAGAGACCGAAAGACAGAAAAATACAATGAGTTTTTCAAAAACATTGACACAAGAAAATAATTTCCATTATAAAGCAATAACCGGTCAAAAGTTAATTACCAACTCAAAGGATGGCTTTATCACAGTCAATGTTGCTAAATTTCGAATAAATACATGTAAATATCACAAATAATATCATTATTTCTATACAGATGTGAGGATGTAAGAAAACAATTTGTCAATATTTAATATTAAATTTTTGGTTCTGATCGCCGCGTACCGACGAGACGAAGTTTGAACGGCTGGTTGAGTTTCTGAATTGATCAGCCACTTTGTTAGCAAGCTTGCACATATGAGGCACCTGGGCTCTGAGTTGTTTGTCCATGAGCCTGTCTTTGATTTTGAAGTAGTCAGTGTGCCGTAGTTCGCGTACGCTCTCTCCTATTGCGATATCGTTGCGTACATTGGGACAATTTGCGATTTGTGTGAACTTTCTCAAAGCACTCTCGATTTTGTCAATATGTATGGCATGTTGGCAGCCATACAACGTTGCAGTACTCAAGATGAGACTGAACCAATGCGTAATATAGTGTTTTGAGTGTTTGAACGTCGGTTATGTCGAAGCAAAATCTCCTAATGAATCCAAGGGCAGCTGTCGCCTTCGATATAATTGCGTCGATGTGTTGGACAAAACTAAGCTTCTGGTCAATGATGACGCCGAGATCTTTGTGGTCCAATACGCGTTTGAAGGTGAAATCACCGTATTTGTAATTTGTGTCGATGATGTTCTTTCTTTTTTTGGTGATTGTAAGGACGGCGCATTTGTCAAGGTTCAGGTGCAAATTGTTTAAGTCGCACCAAACCTTCAATTCGTCGATGGCCCGCTGTAGCACTTTATTCTTTATTCTTTATTGAAAATGGCAATTGGGGTTTATACATTTAACAGCCTTTAAGGCCACTTACAAAATGTAATTGGAATTACTTTATGGTTTACAATTTTTTGTTTTATCTTAAAAATGCGAATGAAGAGAGTGATTACATTTTAAATATTTTTTCTAATAATTAGATGTTTTATTTTTGGTTTTTTTTCTGTTGTTGTTGTTGTTTTTTTTTTCTTGTGAGTGTAATATTAAATGATTCAATACTGACGTCCTTGAATTGTATAAAAATTGACATATAGTACATCCTGCCATCCCCTTTTATTACAAAACTGGGAAAAGATTAACTCGTCTTAGATTGAAACTGAATCAAAACAAAGGAAAATTAAAACAAGGGGTGGAGGTGTACTGATTGCTGTTGATAGGACAATGAAATCTGAACTCGTCAGCACAGGTGAGCAGTATGGCGCTGAACAATTTTGCGTTATCCTGCCATTGAAAGACAGGAATGTTTTTCTAATTGAATTGTACATACGTCCTGATTCTCCTGTCGCAGTTTATGAGGCGAATATGAATGCAATTCGTGAGGTAGCAGCAAAATTGAAGTCCGAGGATATTTTGGTAATTTCTGGTGATTTTAATTTATCCAACTTGGAATGGTATACAGATGAAAATGAAGATTGTGACGTTGCCATCCCACTGAACGCATCCTTGGAAATGGAAATCACTAGTCTTGGACTCCATGCATGAAATGGGACTTGTTCAAGTAAACAAAGCTGGAAATAAAAACGGTGCGATGTTAGACTTGGTGTGGACAAATTGTACAGAGACCGTGAGCTGCTCAAAAAACACCCATCACCTACTAAAAAAGGAGTCACATCATCGATCATATGCAATTACCATTAGCGATGTTGAATTTAACAATGGCAAGTCAACTATTGATTTTAGTTATCGTGATTTTGCAAATGCCAACTACAGTAGATAATCTATGGGCATTCTAACACACTTTGACCTCAGTCGACCTTTCGTAAGAAAGGTCGACTGAGGTCAATGTGTGCGAAAAGGTGTGCTGAGGTTGAACTTAGTTAGAATGCCCATAGATTATCAAACAATTGCTATGTTTATCTTTTCAGATAAGAGAATTCTAACATCGTCACCGTCAAAGACGGCACTGATCAGGCACCCAGCTTCATAAAATATCAAAAAGCATAATTGAGGTTAAACTATGTTAGAATTCTCTTATCTGAAAAGATGAAAAAATGCTAAAAACAAAAGAAAAACTGTCGGAAGTATAAAAAATGATTGAATAAAACGTCAATTTTTTATGTATTCAAAAGAAAAAATATAGAATTTATTCAATTATTGTGCTCAATTACAAAATCTCGGTGATTATAGTTTTAATTGTAAATTGTTTAAAAGCGAGTATGCTATTTATTATTCTTTTGAAAAAAAAAGAGATGGGGTGAGATTCAGATGAGGTGCGGCTCACTGTTGAATTCGCTGATGGTAACGACTTCAGTAAACTCGTCGATGCTCTTGAAGTCGAGTTTTAATTTGTTGTTTTTAGCGGGGTCTCTACCCATGTAGCACAGGAACTTCCGAGAAGAGTTGAGGTCGCTCACGTCTTCAGGTTTCATGTTGATTGAAAAACGTTCTGGCAGATAAACTACCTTATCGCCGAGATCAAGACGAAGTCTTACACCCCATTTAGTCGGTACAAGTGCGAATTCGTAGATAGGATAATTGCCAATATTCAAGTCCTTGAAGCTCACAAACCGCTTGTTGCAGCAAAGATTTTTCAGCAAACTGAATGAATACATCTTCTAATTCTTGAAATTTCTCTCTCGCTCAAACGATAATACTTGTAGACTGTTCAGCTTGAACTGATGGTTTACCTCAGAGTTAACCGAGTTTATATACAGAAAATTCATGCGTCGCAACTAGCAAACAATGCTAAATCAATATAGTTCACATGTACAAATATTGTTAAACTAAACATCACTCGAAATATTTAATAAAAATTGATTGATCGATTTTTTATCCAAACAATGGGGGAAAAAATAATGATCATCGATGATTGACAGTTTTTTCTGAACAATAGAAAAAAAAGTAACAAAAGAATCCTTCGATGATTGACAGTCTTTTCTAAACAATGGTGGAAGAGAGTAACAAAAGACCCCATCGTTGATTGACAGTTTTTTCTGAACAATAGAAAAAAAAAGTAACAAAAGAATCCTTCGATGATTGACAGTTTTTTCTAAACCATTGTTTATGGTGGAAAAAAAGTAACAAAAGACTCCATCGTTGATTGACAGTTTTTTTCTAAACAATGGAGAAAAAATGACAAAAGAATCCTTCGATGATCGTTCGATTTTGCCCCCAAATAATTGGTAAGATAAATTCCCACGCACCTCGACCAAAAAAGGTCTCACGGTGAAGTGAAATGTGTGCTTAACAATGAATGTGGTGCGACAATTTTATGATATAAATTCAGGTCCGAGTGAGATGTGTTTTAGTTCCCGATCAAGTTTGAGTGAATCGTGTTCTACTGATCAATATGGATTTGAAAGTCGATTTTGAATACCGTGAAATGGCATTCAATAAGAGAATGCTAACATTCGCCATAGTGAATCGCGATCATATAGATATTAAGGAATTTCTATTCGATGCATTCAACTACTACGAAAATGAAATTAAAGACATTTTTCGAGATCATGCAATGGTTAAAGTGAATACATGTTTCAGTGCAACGTTTGAAAAAAATGTCGTACAAAATGGGGTCAGGGAGGAGGATAGAATGGATACGGATTTGAATGTTGACCTCATGGATGTGGATGGAGATAACGCTACCGGTCAAGTGGAGAAGAAAGAAAAACAGTTGCTGTATCTGCATACGAAATCTGTAGTTATCGACCATCTAACGGACTTATACGAAATCTATGAAAAAACCGTCATCGATGTCATATTAAACAAAATTGATGATGCAATTATGCAAGGATCGGGATTCACATTGTCATCGATCAATGAGCTCCTTGTGCAAGTTAACAGATATGACCCGATAAAAGGATCGTCGCACATAAAGACCCCGAAGTTTTTGGCTGACAGAAAAGCAATCGTTAATGTAAATAATCAAGATGACAAATGTTTTATGTGGGCTGTTTTATCAGCGATACAACCAGCTACTAAAAATCCGGATCGTTTGAGCAATTATATTCAATATAGAAATGATCTCATTTTCACAGGAATCGAGTTCCCAATGAAACTCTGCGACATTTCAAAATTCGAGCAACTTAACTCATCAATTTCAATCAATGTATATATGGTTAACGACAAAGATAAAAAAGTGGTGCCAGTGAGGATAACTAAGGAAGTTAAAAATAGCCACATCCATCTACTCATACTCACCCAAAGATCCGAGGATGGCACAGACTCAAAATCCCATTATTGCTGGATAAAAAACTTGAGCCGACTAATTTCATCTCAAGTTTCAAATCATCATGGACGACACTATTTTTGCGATAGATGTTTAAATTTTTTCCACTTATTGACTAAATTGGAAGAACATCGCGTTAATTGTGGGAATCAAAATGAGTGCGGAATCGAAATGCCGACACATGGAAAAGATTCTGTCAAGTTTAAGAATGTGAAAAATCAAGTGAAAACACCGTTCATTATATACGCCGACGTTGAAGCGCTTTTGAAGAAACCTGATGAACCTTTCTGTAAACCGAATGGTAAAAAACCTGTAAAAACTGTAGCGTACCAACAGCATGAAGTCTATAGCATTGGCTACTACCTTAAATGTACATTTGACGATTCTCAATCGTTTTATAAAGCCAAACGAAGTGCTGAATGTATCGATTGGTTTGTCAGTGAATTACATGAAGCAGCATCAGTTTTTGCAAACATATTTGACAACATTGTTCCAATTGAAATGACTTCAGAAGACGAGCAATTATTTGAGAATGCTGAGTTTTGCCATATTTGCGAAGAAAAATTTGTGAGAGGTGAAGATGTTATCGTGAAAGATCATTGCCATTTTACTGGGAAATATAGAGGAGCCGCACATCAGAACTGTAACTTAGAGTATCAGGAGAGTCGCACGATCCCCGTAGTCTTTCACAACTTATCCAACTATGATTCACATTTTCTAATACGGAAGCTTGCATCAGGATTCCCTGGGGAGCTGAAAGTTATCTCAATTAACAAAGAAAAATATATCTCATTCATAAAGACTGCTGCCGATAGCGCTCGTAATTTCAGATCTATGGTCAAATTTAAATTTATCGACTCATTCAGATTTATGGCGTCTTCGCTCGATCGTTTATCATCTTTAATACCATCGAATAAGAAAACACTACTTCGAAACGAGTTCAAAGAAATCAGTGATGACCAGATAAGCCTCTTGGAACGAAAAGGGGTATTCTGTTACGATTATGTTGACTCATGGGGAAAACTTGATGAGACTGAATTGCCACCGAAAGATGCATTTGATAGCAAATTGACTGGTGCAAAAGCTACTGATGAGGATTATGGTTTTGCTTCTGAAGTTTGGAATAAATTCAATGTGAAAACTCTCGGTGAATATGCAGATTTATACCTAAAAGTCGATGTTTGTCTGCTTGCGATTGTGTTCGAGAATTTTAGAGAGACATGCCTTCAAATTTATAAACTAGACCCTGCGAACTATTACACTGCACCAGGATTATCATTCGACGCTATGTTACGATATACAAAAGTAGAGATAGAACTTTTAAAGGATGTTGATATGCTCCTATTTGTTGAAAGAGGTAATTTTTATCCACATTACACTGCATAGACATTTTTCTAATCACGTTATGTTTCGTACAATTCATAGGAATACGTGGAGGAGTTAGTCAATGTAGTAAACGTTACGTTGAAGCGAACAATAAATACCTGAATAATACGTTCGATAAAGGGAAAGAATCTAGTTACATCATCTATGTTGATTGTAACAACCTATATGGATACTCCATGATGCAACATCTCCCGATCCGAGGATTTCAATGGAATGAGAAAGAATTTAACGCTGATGAAATTTTAAATATTGCTGACGATGCTAACATCGGTTATATATTCGAAGTGGACCTAGATTATCCGGAACACCTACACGACTTACACAATGACTACCCGTTCTGCGCTGAAAATAAGCTAGTTCCGAATACTAACAGTAAGAAGCTGCTACTAACGTTAACCGAAAAAAGGAATTATATAATTCATTATAGAATGTTAAAGTTAGCCTTGCAACACGGATTAATTTTAAGAAAAGTGCACAAGGTTCTCCAGTTTGAGCAGTCTGCATGGTTGAAATCATACATCGAACTTAATTCAGGGTTACGTGCAAAAGCGACCAATGATTTCGAGAAAGAGCTATACAAACTGCTGAATAACGCGATTTTCGGTAAATCTATGGAAAATGTGAGAGCCCGTGTAGATATTCGCTTGAAAACAAAGTGGGATGGACGCAGCGGCGCCCGTGAATTAATCTCTAGACCTAATTTTAAGAGACACACTATTTTCGATGAAAATTTAGTTGCAATAGAAATGTCGAAAACAAACATTGTCATGAATAAACCAATTTCGGTTGGAATGGCCATTTTAGACATCTCGAAAGTAGTGATGTATGATTATTATTACAACTTTTTAAAACCTAAATATGGATCAAACATTTCTTTGGCGTACACCGACACTGACAGTTTCGTCATCCACGTAAAGACTGATGATTTCTATGCTGATATGAAAGAAAATTTGGAACGCTATGATACTAGCGATTATGCTGAAGATAACATATTTCAAATGCCTCGTGTAAACAAAAAGATTCTAGGATTATTCAAGGATGAACTTAAGGGATTGGTTATAATCGCGTTTGTAGGACTGAGAAGTAAAATGTATTGCGTTAGGACAGATAATGTCAAAGTGGATAATAAAATGAAGAAGGCTAAGGGTGTCAAAAATTATGTACTGCAACGTGAAATAACATTTAAAGATTATGTGGAATGTCTCACAAAAATGGAGAATCTTGTCAAGAATCAAAATACATTTAGATCAAAAATGCACAATGTCTACACAATCCAACAAAGTAAAATTGCTTTAAGCGCTAACGATGATAAACGTCGCATCCAACCAGGTAACATTGAAACGTTAGCATACGGTCATTATAGTCTCAATCAATAAGAATGAATAAATAAATAAATCAATACATTTTTCCAACACATTTTCTTTATTGTTTGTTTTTCAATTACAATTAAGGGTACGTAAAGTAAATCGAAGTAGTATGTACTATAGCAGCTCTACATATTGGGCATGGGGCTCTTCGATCTTCATCCAACATTGGCTCAAGGCACTTTGCGTGGAATAAGTGACCACAATTTAATGATTCAACATGTAATTTGCAGCCTATAACGTCATCTCGACAAATTCCGCAAATGGGGTGCCTGTTATTGCATTGCACTGATGGCGTGTCATGCAAATATTCTTCAACAATTATACGAATCTTTGACAATGTACACCGGTCCTCATAGCTCATTTCGTTATAAGGCCAATTATGTTTCGCGTAGGCGATCATATCAGTCGTTGGCGGTCCGCGAATTCTTTCATCTTTCCATAAATATAAAATGATCTCACGCTTTATATTGTTCATAGCTAATAAATACCCTCGATGCTTGTATTGACGTTCATATTCGCGTCTTTCACGCAGTCGGGCACTTTTAGCAAGTCGCTTCATGGTTTTTATCTCATCAGGTTGAAAAGATGAAGGGACGTATATTTCAGGTTCATCTTCGTAGCACCTCCGATCCAGCGCACGCCAAAAAGAAACTGCTTCACCGCACATTATATTTAGAAAAGAAATTTAGGATGGGGGGGTCTCCGTAAAATGAAGTCGTCAGGTTGAGTGATTGATCCCAACTGAAGACATTGGGCACAAGTTCCTAACTTTTATACGATGCTCTACGCTCAATATGGGTGAAATTACCCTCTCCATCATTTCGATTCTTTTTTGAAACCTTCGTCGATCTAGATAATCTTCTCTCCATCTACTGATGCGTGCTGTATGATATGCATATGACCAAACATGCATTTTCAAAACTTCAACGTTTAGATCAAATGAGACTTTCAAACGATTATATGTGAAGCACCGTCCCTCCATGATTCAGTTAGAATACTTATATCTCACTGGAAAATAATTTTTCAAATAAAACAAACGATTTTTTTTCCTTACTCTACATAAAAATAAACATGTTTTTATTGAAAAAAAAAAGTGAATATTAAAATTACAGTACATCATTAGCGCTTATCCAACTATTGTATCGATTATCAAACCCTAACCATTTGACATAAACTTGATCTTTTTTTCGTCGCAAAATTTTCTGAACTAAATATACATCCGGATATTTGACTAACTGCATCTCTTCAGCGTAAACCCCGCCCTTGATTTCATTACCTTCCCAATCAACTAGCAAATATGTAGTTGGATCCGTATATTGGATCTTGTTCACAACAAAGATTTCAGTAGTCCAGTTTGGAAGATAACCTTTTTCGAATACGTTTTTATACTTGCTTAAACGAACATGGTCTCCTACTTTAAAACTAACTTTAGACGGTAATTCTCTCTTATAATTGTAAACCGTGTCTAAGAGTTCTTGTTCATTGTCTGAATTAACATCATCTGGAGCCATTTTAATGGTACGATGTCTACGGCCATTATACTCGTCGACGAGTTGTTGTATGATATCAACCCATTTGTACCCCCCTCGCAGACTAAACTGTTCATATAGCTTTCGTTTTATTGTACGATTCCAGCGCTCTATAATACTGGCCTTCATTACGCTGAATGTTGAATAGCGATTCACTTTATATTTCTCCAATAGTTTAGTCATGTCACTATTGTAAAATTCCTTTCCTAAGTCGACACAAATATTCTTCACAGGTCTCCCAATAGAATCAAGCACAGATTTCATCGCTTGTGTAACCTCTGCACCGGTTTTCGTCTTGAGCGGTCGAACATACGCCATTTTTGAAAAAATGTCAATCACCGTTAAACAATATTTCATGTTGCGATCGGGAGGCATTTCAATTAAATTAGCTTGCAGTGTTTCAGCAATACCTCTCATAATAAAGTGACGTCTGTGGAAATGCTTTCTAGCATCTCGGTGAAGTTCTTTTACTACTTGCAGCTTACTCATGGTACAACCTCATTCGTGATAATGATGTGGTAAAATGATTCCCCCACCCTTCTTACACACTTTTAACAACGATGCCACTGAATGGTGAATATTCAAACTCATTCTCATAAATAATCAAGCAATATGCTGCAGTATCGGCTGCAATTTGGGCGCTACTATTGATCTCCAATCTAATGTCAACTGCACCTCCCAGTAGCGAATCATCCGTTCGACTACAGTCGAATGCGAATATCGGCTGATTTGAATGTTTCGTAATTATAAGTATACGGGTTATGCGGTTTCGTTCCGTTGTAGTATGACGACTGGATTTTTTCAAACGCGTTATACAGGTCCTGACAGTTTCCAACAGTGAAATTCGAATTATAATTTTCATATGGGAAACACTCAGAGTTCAAATACAATTTCACGTCTGTAACATTGCAGTGATCAAACATGTCAGCTCTAGTAGCCAACCCATGTCTAGCAGTCTGTAATACAAATAAAACATATCGAGGTTTGCTCGCTTGAGTGCTAGATTTCACAGTCCATATATTTTTATCGGTTTGTGGTAGTGAAGGCATCTCGTATAAATCCCATGATCGATATGGAACGGTGATTGTCTGCTTGCGTTCCAAATACTTTAACATTGCATATTTAGCATGGCTGGATATGTGGTGCTTTCCATTGAATTTTCGTAACTTCAATATTGAATGAATCAGTTGCACAGGTATAAACACTGTTATTACTTCGACTGCGCACAAGGACCAGTTCATGTCGAGCATTTATCAAAACCTTTTGGTAATCCTCACAAAACCCGAACACAGAACATAGCGGAATAATCATAGAGTAAACTCTGTTAGTGAGAGCCTGTGAATCGTAATTAATCATCTGGTTTATTTCTCTTAAAACATCGACGGGGGTTGCGGTCTGTGATTTCATATACGATGTCAATCCAGGTATTTTTATTCGATCGATTTCCGTATTATTCAGCTCATACCGCATTTCACTGAATAGACGGTGTGCTGGAAATGTTATCCACGTTCCAGCGGCATTAGCATGGCTGGCATCCGTTTTACGACTCACTTTAACATCGACGAGAATGTAGCTTTCTGAAGGTAAAACGTATTGATCTTGCGATTGGATGACAATTCTAACTTCATCATTGTGTCCATAAGATGACGTGTACGGCGAATAAGTCAAATACTGCTTCTTGGTGATAGTATTATCCCGAAGAGGCTTGCCGCCAACATTTAAAATTTCACTCATTTTTCACGGATTTAATGTTTTTTAACTTTAGGTCCCAACGATTTTAATAATGCAATGTTTTTCTTTGTCAACTTTTTCCTCTCTTTTGAACACTTGGAGGATTTTTTTCGCGATGTTGCTCGTCCGACTACTCTCGAATGAATGGTGGCAATTCGTTCAGCGATCGCTCCTTTATTAGATGCAAATGCAGCGAAGCCATCTGAACTTTTATTGAAAATAATCATGTTACACCACTTTTTTTTATCTACTTGTCGTCCCTTTTTATATGAATACGACAGGAAATTTCTTCACCGCGAAAATCAACTTGATGTCCGTCTTGATCGACGATCGCTATCTGAATGCAACTTATCCGACGTGGCACGACCGGTAAATAGATGACGTTGTTTGGTTGTTCAATAATTTTGTATCCAACGTCAACTTTATTAGCTGCAAATTCATAAATAGAATGGCATGGTTTGCCATTTACATAAGCTCCTGACACAATGTTACACTCAACTCTTATTACATTCAATTTTGTAATTTTAACAGTACCCACTGATCCAGTTTTCACACCTGCCTTGATCTCAGAATCGAACCCGAATATTCTAAAAATTGAATCTTCCTGCACCGCGGAAAGTTTTTTTGAACAAGATATACGAGTCTTTAATGTGTTTTCATCGAGAACATAATCGAATTCATGTCCTACACGTTTCAGCGTTTTCGTTATGGCATCAAGGATATCTATAGCCTCATAAGTGCCAATAGGAATTTCGAAATAAGGTGCTGTATTATATGTATCAAGATAAATTCTATTATTTCGCGTTGTAACATTCGGCATCGAATGGTATGTTGTTATGTCTAAAAGACCACATGAATAGTTACACTTTTCATCAAGAAAAAACGTTGAAGTTAATACTGGTGTATTACCGGTAAAAGACACTGTAATCGACGACATGACTGTTCACTTAACACTGATCATGTTTTTGTTGCGCGATTGAATTTTATTTATTTATTTATTCAGACAAATCAATTCGACCGGACCAAAAATTGAACAAGAACTCTATGCACAGATGCCCGCAAATATATGTGTCATAGTCCTGATACTGATGATAATTGAACATTATTTTAACGTTTTTACCTAAATATTTAACTACTTCAAGTGGTGGTGCTAAATTTCCGAACGAATCATAGTAAAATGCCTTATTTCTAATCTTGGCTAACGCACTCCAGTGGCTCCCGTCAGATGTCGCTGGTGCATGATTAAGAATCCAACATTCTACCTCTCGAGGCTTTTTCGGTAGTGTGTCACGCATGTAAATACCTCGAAAATGTGGGATTCTCAACATATTCACATATTTACTCAGATCATAATTTGTGAGTGGTCTATCTGTCGAAAGCCTCAGCGGGAGTTTTTTGATCCATTGAACGATTTCAAATATAATCCACTACCGTTTCGGTGTGGCCTCAGATACAACCCTCGGCCGTTTTTCATCGTCTTCAGGTAGAGACCGTTACCCAATTTTTGTTCAACTGCTTGGTTGTGTCGTCTATTCTCTTCCAAGAATGTCTTAGCATTTTTTAAGGCTTTAGCAGTTTTTATAACGGCAGCAGTCCCACCCACGAGAGAACCTATTGCGCTCAAACTTGCTAAAATAGGTAAAATCGGTAGGATACCTCCACTAATTTCAGGTACTTTTATGATTCTAGGTACGTTTACACGTTTTTTTGATTTCTTTGCCGATCGAATAGCTGCTTTTATGGCTGTGC